ACATGACTGCAGCACCTACAACTGCTCTCTTTCGTTCCCGAGATGCGTGGTGCTTTTGCCCTGTATGAACGCAGTTCAGACGAAGAATGGCGGAGCCGTGATTGCAACGATGATGCGAGTCCTGGTGGAGCGCTGCTGCAACCAGTTCCAGGGAATCAATTACACCGGCAAGTGCATCCTTGTCATCTGCAGCTTACTACTTTCGTCGCGTACTCAAGCATGTCCAAGTCAAACGGTTGTCGGCGTTATGCGGCGGTTCATTCCGCCTGCTCTTGTTGCCACGAATGGGTCTTTATCTAATCGTCGGACCAGCCGTCGCATCGAGCGAGCAGAAAGACATTAGAAACACGAGCAATACCGATTTCGTTCGCCCCTTCAGTGCTCTCTCGCATCCGCAGGCGGCCTCCTATTCCTTGCTCCATCGGTCCACATAGCGCGAGTCACCACTCCTTGCTTTTGGTGTTGCTAGACCATGCTAAAGAGGTGATTGGCGAGACTGTCACCTCGGCTAGGACGCGCTCGCTGGCCATGGCGTCACAGAGGAACTGTGCGCTCGTCTGGGGTCACCCACCGTCCGTTCATTTGTACAACTTCAACCTGGCAACCAACAAAAATAGATTCCCTTCAAGATTCAGCAGTATTGTTTAAACTAGGACGTCGAATCTATCGCTTGCGCCATGTCCAGATGTGTGGCTCCTCTTGAATGCGCTGTGGCCACCTCGAGTCGCTTGGTGGCATCGTTCTTCTTGCCAACTCAATAGGTATGGAATATCGAGGTCGCTCGACGGCGTGGCATTGCCGGCGGTGCCTTGTCGGTTCGAGCCTGTTGCCGCAATGTTCACTCGAGGGGACAAACTTTTCCATAGTTCGTGCAGAGTTGTTGTTGCCCGAGCGCTCATCATTTCGATAAGGAAGCAGTTTATGCTGACGCAGTTTCCTTGATAGCGAACCACTGAAAGAGCGCGGCAGCCCCTGACGATTCTTGCAACGTGTTGCGGCCCCTTGTCGGTCGCCGCTCGAGCGGACCGAACTCGATCGTTTTCCATGCTACCATCGGCTGCGGCATGTACAGGGGGGCGGTCTTCGTCGGGACAAGTGACAACGCCTCGGTTTGCTCAATGAAGCTTTGCACTGGTGTCCGTTGGATCCCCTTGCAGTCGCAGCGGAGGGGGTTGCGCTTTGCGTCAGTTTTCCACAACGACATGCATTTACGACAAATGAATGAGTCGCATCCACACGACGGGACCTTCTCCTTGACCTGACACAGCAAGCAACGACGAGGCTTGCCCCGAGACGAGTCGCGCACATGCAGTCGCATCTTCGCTGACTTGTGGGATATTTTTGCGAGTGGGCTTTGGATGGAAACATGCATTCGATCCATGTCCAGTCGAAAATGACAACGTTCCTGTTGCACATGCTGTCACTTTATGGTATAGGAATTTGACAGTCCAACATCGACCATCTAACGAAAACCACGTTGTGGCGACATCCAGGAGCTGGGGCGACATGTGTGTTGGGGGGTCCTCCTTCACACCAACAAGCTGCGACCGCCCAGGTGCTGCATGCAGCCATGTTTTGGTATATTTCCTGCCCCTGTGGATGTGACATTGAACTCGCGAAGCCGACAGGAAAAGTTGGAACAGGCCGGGCCTCAAATCACACGACGGCGAAAGGGTGGTCAAGCTTACTGTTGGTAGAATTTTTGAAAACAGATCATGTTGTAGAGGTGGTCGGCTTTTGGGGGGGGGTCGGCTTTTTCCGGGGTTCACTGTAAAGCCACTGCACATTTGAGCCGTTGCTTGTTGACTCATGTCCTTGCAATGTAGCGTAGTCGTTGAGAGCACAAGGAGCCCCTTTCTATGATATGTTTCAATCAATGCTACAGTGTATGACATAAAGGTTCGGTACATGGGATTCTGAGTCACAGCAGTATTGGTTTTCATCCAATCAGAACGCATTAATACCTCTTTTAATCCAGTGAAAATGGCGGATCGACTGAACCCACCCAATTTGTCCCAAAGTGTGTACTCACTGAAAAAGGCGCGAAAAACATCAAATGGTTGGTTTTGAACCTGGTCAATAAACATCGGTACAGCCATTGTATATTGAGTTTCAAAGCACATTACGCTTAAAAGACACAACCAAAGGTATCATTGAATAGCTGATTTAATGCTGCACCAAGAGAGTTAACTAGA